AACTAGATACACTAAGATTTTACAGTATAACTGAATCGACAGCTTCACGTCCGCTGAAAATAACATGCTCACAATGCACTGCTTAGTGGTCATTCTGAAAACGAGGATCTAAAAATCTCAGATATGCCTGGGATGATTGCATTTAAACTTCACACACAAATTACACATCACGTCATACATAAGCACATGCATTTGTTCATAGAGTCCCTCAGCATAACTTTTTGCTGTTTTGCCAGATCAGGTAACTACTAATATAATGAATTACTACTAATAATAATGTGATTAATAACCTTATCAACTGCATCCTTATCCACTTTAGCATCATTCAAGAGCATCCGAACAATGTCAGTATTTCCTGTTTCAGTTGCAATGTGAATAGCTGTTCTACCATGCTGTAATTATGAGCCGTATTAAGTAAATTGCATTATTTGATGATGATATTAATACGGCAAAAATACTTTGAATATTTACAAATTGATTCTACCTTGTCTGCCGTATTTCTCTCTATGTCTGCATCCAAGAGTAACTTCACAGATCCAATGTGCATATTGGCAACTGCATGATGTAAAGCTGTACATCTATCCTGGTAAATTTATAAAAATAATTTTTGTAACAATAAATATGTTAGTTGTAAACAGGTCTATAGATTATTTTTTTAATTGAGCCAGTTACTAAAACTTTAATTTAATTACAATACTAATTAAGAAGATTTATCTATCTCGAGTTAATTATGGCATGGTTGATTGTTTGTTTTGTTCTGAAGATGGGCGAAATAGCCATTTTTCAATTCATACACTGCTCACCATGGAAGCATTCACATCAACTTTTTCTTGAATCAGCGTGGTTGCAGCCTCTATGTCATTTACCATGACTGCTCTGTGCAATGGCGGCAACATATAAGTCTACAGAAATATAAAAAATGAAAATAATATGAGAATATATGGGATACTTGCACGTTGGGATGGTGTACCTGGTATTCAGAAGAATAAGTCTAAATATAATAAATTACACTACATAAATTGTTAATTATATATATTATACTATCAAAATTGTCAATGACATTGAACCATTTTTGTTTATTATCTTCAAAATGATTTTAGCCAAACATGAATTCAGCTTGACCTTTATTCTTCTTGTGTTTCTTAGCCACCTATGCTGTATTTATCGGTATCTTACTTTGTGGGTCTTTGAACTTATATAGTACAATGAATTTTAATGTGGATGTTTTTGAGTATTGGATGAAACTATAAATAGTTTGTTAAGTTACCTGCATGTCTACAATATCATTCTCCTCTCCTGTGAAAATAAATTAATAGTTCATTAATTATGGCATGCACAATTTAAATACATTTAAATTGGATTGAAGAATTGCAGCAAGTTATGTTTCACAAAAAAAACATTCTTGACATACAAATACAATAATAATGCTTAGATATGATAACAAGCATAACGGGTTATCATCATAACTATATGTTGAATTGTAGAGCAGGCAAGCATCTGATTTGGAACAAAGTCAAGTATTGACAGTCAAGTATTGATGCCAATATGTAATGACAATGAGAAAGAGGACAATCTATCACATTTGCTTGAATCCATCTATAAGAAAAAGTTGTAGAATTTGGGCAACTGTACAATAGTCTGAAATATTATAGGAAACATTGTCTGACAAATCAATAAACAAAAATATTGTTCCTATACAGCATAAAATGTATGACTCAGCATTCTTTGTTACATATGGTCTTATTTTGCGATTACCCGGTTAAACCAGTGTGTAGTTTAGGTGGGAATATAATCATATAATTTACAATTACCTTCTAGTTTCAAGATGCACTTCCTGAATTGCCATCCTTCAATAATGGTTTTCAGTTTGATTTCTGTGGCATTGCAGTAATCCAATACATCTTGAGTAATAATATCTTTTTGGAATATTTTATTTATTTCGCCGGATGTATGTAAAGCCCTCAGTTTTTCAACTTCGACTGCTTTTGTG